CCATGCTTATTTAAGCTTCAACAATGATAAACACACACACACACACACACACACACACACACACACACACACACACACACACACACACACATATATATATATATATATATATATATATATATATATATTTAAAGTCTGTGTAACACATTTCATCCTCTAAAAGGATTTCATCAGACTACAGTAATGATCTTATTGATGGAAATGTATATATTTAGCGGGTGGAGAATATTATTTTAGTCTAATGAAGCCATTTTAGAGGACGAAACACGTAACATGGAGTTTTCATTTCCATTTTGTCACAAATTATAATGTATAATACATCCCAAATGCTAAACAATATATTAATAAACAAGAGAATTTCGTTAGGAAAACAGATAAGCGTTTTGAACTGCTATGTAATATCACTCCCCTATATAGCAATGAATTCTGGACAATTTCTTTACAACGGAAGAGGAGACTTGAGGCAACAGAAATAATTCTGAACTGCTATGTAATATCAATTCTCCTATATGGCTGTGAATACTAGACAATTTCCTCACAGTTGAAGAGAACACAAGGCAAGAGAAACAATGAAAAGAGTGCTGAACTGCTATGTAATATCAATCCTCCTATATAGCAGTGAATGCTGGACAATTTCCTCACAGATGAAGAGAAGACTTGAGGCAACAGAAACAATGAAAAGAGTGCTGAACTGCTATGTAATATCAATCCTCCCATATGGCAGTGAATGCTGGACAATTTCCTCAAAGATGAAGAGAAGACTTGAGGCAAGAGAAACAATGAAAAGAGTGCTGAATTGCTATGTAATATCAATCCTCCTATATGGCAGTGAATGCTGGACAATTTCCTCACAGATAAAGAGAAGACTTGAGGCAAGAGAAACAATGAAAAGAGTGCTGATCTGCTATGTAATATCAATCCTCCTATATAGCAGTGAATGCTGGACAATTTCCTCAAAGATGAAGAGAAGACTTGAGGCAAGAGAAACAATGAAAAGAGTGCTGAATTGCTATGTAATATCAATCCTCCTATATGGCAGTGAATGCTGGACAATTTCCTCACAGATAAAGAGAAGACTTGAGGCAAGAGAAACAATGAAAAGAGTGCTGATCTGCTATGTAATATCAATCCTCCTATATAGCAGTGAATGCTGGACAATTTCCTCAAAGATGAAGAGAAGACTTGAGGCAAGAGAAACAATGAAAAGAGTGCTGAATTGCTATGTAATATCAATCCGCCTATATGGCAGTGAATGCTGGACAATTTCCTCACAGATGAAGAGAAGACTTGAGGCAAGAGAAACAATGAAAAGAGTGCTGAACTGCTATGTAATATCAATCCTCCTATATAGCAGTGAATGCTGGACAATTTTCTCAAAGATGAAGAGAAGACTTGAGGCAAGAGAAACAATGAAAAGAATGCTGAACTGCTATGTAATATCAATCCTCCTATATGGCAGTGAATGCTGGACAATTTCCTCACAGATAAAGAGAAGACTTGAGGCAAGAGAAACAATGAAAAGAGTGTTGATCTGCTATGTAATATCAATCCTCCTATATAGCAGTGAATGCTGGACAATTTTCTCAAAGATGAAGAGAAGACTTGAGGCAAGAGAAACAATGAAAAGAGTGCTGATCTGCTATGTAATATCAATCCTCCTATATAGCAGTGAATGCTGGACAATTTCCTCAAAGATGAAGAGAAGACTTGAGGCAAGAGAAACAATGAAAAGAGTGATGAATTGCTATGTAATATCAATCCTCCACTATGGCAGTGAATGCTGGACAATTTCCTCACAGATAAAGAGAAGACTTGAGGCAAGAGAAACAATGAAAAGAGTGCTGAATTGCTATGTAATATCAATCCTCCTATATGGCAGTGAATGCTGGACAATTTCCTCACAGATGAAGAGAAGACTTGAGGCAAGAGAAACAATGAAAAGAGTGCTGAACTGCTATGTAATATCAATCCTCCTATATGGCAGTGAATGCTGGACAATTTCCTCACAGATGAAGAGAAGACTTGAGGCATGAGAAACAATGAAAAGAGTGCTGAACTGCTATGTAATATCAAACCTCCTATATAGCAGTGAATGCTGGACAATTTTCTCAAAGATGAAGAGAAGACTTGAGGCAAGAGAAACAATGAAAAGAATGCTGAACTGCTATGTAATATCAAACCTCTTATATGGCAGTGAATGCTGGACAATTTCCTCACAGATGAAGAGAAGACTTGAAGCAAGAGAAACAATGAAAAGAGTACTGAACTGCTATGTAATATCAAACCTCTTATATGGCAGTGAATGCTGGACAATTTCCTCACAGATGAAGAGAAGACTTGAGGCAACAGAAACAATGAAAAGAGTGCTGAACTGCTATGTAATATAAATCCTCCTATATGGCTGTGAATGCTGGACAATTTCCTCGCAGATGAAGAGAACACAAGGCAACAGAATCAATGTAATAATCAACCGTCGTATATAGCCATCAACGCTGGGCAGTTTCACAGCGGAAGAGGAGACTTAAGGCATCTGTAACAATGAAAAGAGTGGTGAAATGCTATGTAATTTCAATCTTACTATATAGCAGAGAATGCAGGACAATTTCCTTACAGAGGAAGAAGAGACAAGGTAACAGAAACAATGACTAGAGCGCTGAACTGCTACGTAATATGAATCCTCTTATAAGGCGGTCAATGCAGAACAGTGTCATCACAGATGAAGAAGAGACTTGGAGCAACATGAATTTAGTTTTATAGAAGGATGCTTAGAATATCATAGACAGAACATGTGAACAACATGGAAGTTTTAAGAAAAATGCTAACTAAAATGATACACTTGCACTTCAACTCCTAAAGAGGCAGCTGATGTTTCTAGGTCATGAGGAAAGAGGCCAAAAGCGATTTGACACTCACATGACATTGAGGAGCTGGAGGAGGCTGTGAGTTACTTACCCCACTAGCTTGTGTCAATGGATGACAGAACTGTGGCTGGGGTTGGTAATAAAAAAAAATGTTGCTAAAATCTACAAAAGATTGGATGTTGTGGAGAGGCCTGATCGCCAATGTCCGAAAGCGGGTAACAATACAGAAAAGAAAAATGAATCAGTTAAGACTGTTGCGCTTGAGAAATTATCAATTACAACGGTTAAAAATGCAACACTGATATTGACTTTAAAAAAAAAACAAGTTAAAGAGCTTGTTCATAGCGTAGCGTTTAGCATTGTCAAAAGTGAGACCAGCATGCCGAGTTCAAATTCCAGCCGAGTTTCGTTGCGTTCACTTTCGCAAAAATATCCCAGCGAAAGGTATGAATCTATATCTCTTCCCCAGCTATGGATTAAATAACCGAGCAGACTGGGATCTATAGCTATGATTGGCAACCAGTCTAGGAGAAAGATAAATTCGAATTCAAAAATCTGTTTCAGCGGAGCTTGCCAAATCCATCACGCACAAAACGTACTTGCTACGGAAACCACCGTAGCAACACCTCGAGTTGTGCGGCTGTGGTCCTATATCACACACAGAAGTCTCATGGCAATGTGCAGGAAGAAGAGGAGGAGATATTTTATATTATTTATATGTTTTATTATACAGGGTGCGACAGTAATACGTCCCAGAAATACGACAGTGATTTGTCTGTTCCATTATGCAATCTTTTTTATCAAATGCATAAAATTAACTTCTCCAATCTAGAGAAGAGTCACTGCAATCTTACATTGTCAACGTCCGATAAGTAAACGCGACTAAAATTTCCCATACGTCTAATAATTCATTATTCACATCAGGTGTCCGTCAAATTATAGGTCAGCCAGTAAAGGGTATGTGGTTACGGGTTTTTCTTCGAACGTTCAATCTTCTTGCGAGGATGCAAAAGATTCTGCCATCACACTCGTTGGTTGGGCGTTTATATAAATTCCTGTCTTCCGATTTTCTTGTGTCTTATTTGGGTTAAATTCTTTGTTTATGCTGATGCACTCGCCGACATCCTTTGGGCGGTTTTGGTTAATCTTTCGGGAGTACCTAGGTCTTTTCGATGTTCTGAGGTGACACCGAGTACAAAACTTACTATGGAATTATTAGGGCGAAACCAGTAAATCTTATGATCACCAATACTTCTTGCATCAAAGTTTCTGGATCGAGATTAAATTTGATTGAAATCTCTTTTCTTTCTTTCTTTCTTTCTTTCTTTCTTTCTTTCTTTCTTTCTTTCATGTACTATTTCTTTGTTTTTTTTTCTTTCTTTTCCTTCTTTTTCTTTTTTTCTTTTCTCTCCTTCTTTCTTTGTTCGGATTGTCTAATTTTTCCTCTCTTTTCTATTTCATTTACTATTTCTTTCTTTTTTTCATTCTTTTTCTTTGTTTTTCTTTGTTTTTTCTTTTTCTTTCTTTTTGCTTTTTTTCTTTCTTTTTCTTTCTTTTTCTTTCTTTTTCTTTCTTACTTTATTTCTTCCTTTGCTTTTTTTTTCCTAATTTTTTCCTTCCTTTTCTATTCCATGTACAATCTCCTTTTTTTTCTTTCTTTTTCTTTCTTTCTTTTTTCTTTTTTCTTTCTTTTATTATTCGTTCGTTTCGCCTAATTTTTCCTTTTTTCTGTTTTATGTACTATTCCTTTCTTCTTCTTTCTTTTTCTTT